CCAATTTTGTGTTGGAAAACAGGTATTTTCACCCACACACAAAAAATGGTATTTATGTTGAGTATAATAGATTTATTTTAAATGGATAAAACAGTAAGTTCTCGGTTTTAATTCTATGGTTAATGTTAACAGATGTAACCCACATAAACAAAATCTTCTTGGGGTTCTCAGTAATTTGTAGAGTGTAGGGGTTCTCAAGGGAATTCTCAAAAGGAATACATCCGAATCACCTTGGCTTCAAGTCCCACACTTTCTTCAGCCCTCTGATATTTCTCTCCACCAACTTTTCTGGAGCTCATCCTGGTAAGGTTACCCATAAATTCCCAATTTTGAAATCCACTTGACATTTGCATTCCTTATCTTATTTGACCGCCCTTAAGCCTCTAACATTGTTGTCCACTCCCTTCCCAAAAATCTTTCTCCCTTTGATGTTGCAAYACCACCCCACCTCAATGTCTCTTCCTATCTTTCTGTCTTTCTAATCCCCTTTGCTTGATCCTTGCCCTGACATATTGGCCATTTCTCAAGGTTTCAACTTAGGTTTTTGTTTCTCTCTAGTCTAGGTATTTTCCCTGGGGTGTCTTCTTCAAATTTGTAACTTCCCTTGCTGCCTCTATCCAGTGATTCCAAAATCTGCATTTCTTCCCTGAACTTGATATCACTTATTTCTACATGGGTACCCATGTCCAGATAGACATCCCTAAGGGAAGATGTGTAACTGAAACTCATATATAACTTTCCCTTGCCAAACTCACTTTTTTTTTTTTACTTGTATGCATATTTTTGTAATATTATTATCCATTTATTTGGAAACGCAAGACAATCGTTAAAAAAAAAATAACTTGTGAGGTTATCTTTGACACTTTCTCTTCTGAGGCCCCTCCTCCAATATGCGTTAGATCTCCAAAACCATTCTATTTTCAAACCACCTCTCATGTTTATTCCTTGTTTTTGATCCTTTTATTTATGCTCACACCATCTTTTACCTTCACAGGAGATCAGTGTATCTCTAATTTTCCTCCCAGTGGCTTGACAGAGTTTTCTTTTTCCAAGCATACACAAGTTTGTCCATTGTATTTTGAGTGTTTAAAATTCTCCCGTGCTTTCTTCCCACCTATAGGATAATATACACATCAGCAGGCAAAAAACATATGAAGTCCTGTTTGCCATGTTTTTCAGCTTTGTCTCTTGCCACCCCAAATTATACCCTATCTCCCAGCCATGACTTGTGCCTTTGAGGCATTCAACCCACGGACCCTCTACTGATGGGGTATATCCCAGCCCTTTCCCTTTTATTTTTGAGAAAAGGCTTATGTTTCATAGGTTGGCCTTGAACTTGCAATCCTCCTGTCTCAGTCTCCCAAGTAGCTGGGATTAAGGCATGCACCACTGCATCTGGTTACCCATGCATAGTTTCTAGGTGTCCATATCTTTCTGTCAGCAGAGCTCCTTCTACGGGTTTCTTCTTTGTTGTTTTTTCCAAGTCTCTTCTTAAAGGTCATCGCTTTTCTGAAATCATCTCCTCTCAGCAAAGAAACATATTTGCTTGCTTTCTTTTGCAAATTCTCAAATCAATGCTCATCAGCCCTTATCATATCTCATTGAACTGTTGATATTTGTTTGCATCTCTAATTCCCCACTAGACTTTGGCTGTAGGGCTGTCTCCTCTGTGCCTAACCAGTGTCCAAGTCCACTGTGTGTGTGTGTGCCAGTGGATTAGTTGGGTGGGAAAGTCAGAAGACGCTCCTTTGCTTTCTCTCTGAATCAGCTGCGGAGACATGATTTCTCTCCACAGTTAAATCAGATGTGAATACTGACTTGCTTCACCGTGCAGAAAAGTGCACATCCAATAACCATCYGATGATACAGATGAAGCAAAGCTTCCCTCTCACAGAGGGACCAGGAATTATTTCTTGCAGTCTTGTTATTTGCTTCTTTTCATAGATTAGGAACAAAAGAGATGTTGGGATGAACAGACTCATGGGGAGAAGGAAAAGTCAGGTGAGTGCCTTGGAWAAAAAGGTACCAAAGTCGATGAGGGAGATAGAATAAGAAGGAAAAAAAAAAAAGATTGTGGGAAAGAACGTAGAGAAACAGTACCAAAGAATAGTCCATTTGCTGCCAATAAGGCGCAACGGGGGAAAAAGAAATACAGGAATGAGAGGAAGCTCTGACAGGATGCAGCTTCACAATTCTTTTCAGAGTTCAAGCTCAGGCAGGCTCCTGGACATTGTCTCCAAACTATGTGTTCACCCTGACGCTCAGATCCATGTATGCTTTCTCTGAAAGGAATTTTTGGGTCAAAAGGCCAGAGCCTCTACATTAGAAGAAACTTGTCTTTTCAGGATATAGGTACCATCTTAGGAATAAAACCAGCTCACACCCCAATCATTTGATGAAACTGTTCCAATAATGATGAGTGCAGTTTCAGATATTGATGAGACGCCCAGAGACCCCAACTGTTATATTCAAATTCTTCCATCTGGTGCTTTTGTGTAGGATTTTAATAAGATTCTATACCAAAATTCAATACTTGTTTTAAAAGTTATTCTCATTTGTAAATTTAATACTCTTTGATGTTAAAATCGTAAGTAATTTTTATTTGAAGAACAATAAGAGACCATGGCTGTAGCTGGTAAGCTTGTGAGTTAAAGAGTAATAGAACTATAAATTTAATCATATCTTTAGAACTGCACCAGAATGTAAGAATTGAATGTATAGTTCCCTAATTTTTTTTTTAATGATTGCTTTCTCCAGAATTGGAACTTATTGGTTTAGTAATAAGTTGCATACTGAATGAAGTGGACTCAAAACTTAAGAAGAGCTGGGCATGGTGGCACACACCTGTAATCCCAGCGGCTTGGGAAGCTCAGGCAAGAGGATTGTGAGTTCAAAGCCAGTCTCATCAATTTAGTGGGGCCCTAAGCAACTTAGCAAGACCCTGTCTCAAAAAAAAAAAAAAAAAAATTAAAAGAGCTGGGGATGTGGATCTATGGTTAAGCACCCCTGGGTTCAATTCCCACTATCCCCCCCAAAAATAAATAGATGAATGAGTGTCATGTGGTAATGTTTAAAGGTAAAATATGTTCTCTTATTGAAACTACTGTAATATTTGCCTGGTATTGAAAGATAATGTCACATTTAATCATTTTAAAATCAGAAGAATTACAGAAGCTAAATAGTTTACAAAGATATGGTTTAACAACCACATTTTCTTTCTTTCTTTTCTTTTTTTTTTTTTTTTTAATCAGTATTGTGGATTGAACCCTGGGATACTCTATCACTGAGCTACACACCCACACCTTTTATTTTTCAATTTTTTTTTACTTTATTTTTATTTTTTATTTTGAGACAGGGTCTTAACAAGTTGCATAGGTTGGTCTCATACTTGTGATCCTCCTGCCTCGGCCTCCCAAATTGCTGGGATTACAGATGTGAGCTACAACAACCAGCTAAAACCTTTATTTTCAAAGTACTGATCCATCTATTATTAAGGCCTATAAGAAAGTCTTTCATGTATAAATCCTCAAGTCAGACTTATTAATTTTTATCTTTCTTTTTAGTGTTCTTCAAATACCAAAATAATCACCAAGCATTTAATAAGAGTTTCCCAAGTTCTATCACTCAAATAAGATTTCACCAGTTCGGCCCAATGATCATCCACGGGGGGGAGATGGATTTGCAGTCAGGAAACAGGCGGAAACATAACTTTGCTGTCAAATATAGTGCTCATTCTTCCTTATCTGCCACCTGCTTTTTTTTAAATACTGTGTGCAAGTCTCTCAAACCTTGTACCATGGGATTATAGAGTGTTTGAGACTGAAGGGAACAGAGAGATGTGTCAGCTCCTGAATTGCCTATGATCACCAACTCACCTGGAGAAGAGTCCAGGTTGGAACCCAGGCTTCCAGCTCTGGCCACCTCTGTCACATCCCATCCCATCACTTTGTCCCAGGACTCACTGTCCAATGCAAAGATTGTATGACTGACATTCTCCAAAGTCTGGGATACGCATGTTCAGATGCAGGAACCAATATGGTTTATGAGACCTGGTGCTGGTTCCCTGCGATAGAATGAACTACTCMACAATCATTTGTCTATGTGTACAAGTAATAAAGGAGAGAGAAGGAGTAGATGAACAAGAGTAAGGTGGTCTGGCATAGAAGCAACTGAGTTTAGCATTATTTTTTAAACATTTATTTTTTTAGTTGTAGTTGGAAACAATAACTTTATTTATTTGTTTGAACCCAGGGCCTCACAAGTGCTGGGCTAGTGCTCTACCATTGAGTCACAAGCCCATCCCAAATTTAGCATTTTCATGAGCAAGGACTTGGCTTTATATTGCCTGGCTTCCTCCTCCAGCTGTACCTTATGCCAACTACTGTGTGATTTGGGGCCAGTGACTTGACCTCTCTAGCCTCTGTTGTGGGTTTTCTGTGATGACTTGATGAGCTAAAGTATTTATAACTGGACCTGGCACTTGGTAAGCACATACATGCTAGCTATTGTAGAAAGAGCCCTGTATACAATTTGGTGGCACGTAAAGGTGTCATGTGAAGTCACTCACCTGTAAAGTTCTTGGTCTTTTCATCATCTCTTTCTCTTGGAGTGTTCTCTATACCACCCAGCCAGGTTATGCAGGTACCATTAAATTGCATTTTTTAATGTGACCCTTAGAGATCCATATGGAAATAGAACCTAAGTTTTGTTTTGTTTTGTTTTGTTTTGTTTAGGGCTAAAGGAGCAAACTCATTTAACCCACACAGACTACCTCAAGAGTAATTCACCTATGTCTCTAAAAAGCTAGGGGGAGGAATGACCTCATTCCCATTCATGCATTCATTAATTGAACCTAAGAACAAGATTCTAACCTTCAAGCAGAGTTGAAACAGAAGGACTCCAAATTCAAGGAGAAAAACTACCTAAATTATCCATATATCTTCCCTTTCTCTGCATTTTCTGGGACAACATTTCAAGTTTATTAGACAGGTTGTTTGCTAATATTATGCTTTTGGAACAAAACCCTGAGTGTGTGCTTTTTAGAGAATCATGTAAATCATCAAGGTTATACGTAGAACAGTGATTTGCTCAGTGACCAACAGGTCCCCACAGAGAGCAAATATACTGCTCTTGCCAGAGAAAGGAAGCATAACGCTTCCTTATATTTCTAGCATCCTAGGCTTGCAAGAAAACACACATCCTCCAGATAGTCAGTTAGCTATTCAAATAAATATTGACAATAGGTACTGCTTATTACAGAAGGACTTATTTCTCGTAATTCCACTATTAACAATAGGATAGCTATTTTCTGAAATGTCAGCATTACGTGAATTCATTACTTTAGTCTTAATTTTAGAAGTGATTTAGAAATGGAATATTTAAGAGGGATCACATATTTTAACTCAAAACAAATTAACAAAACTAAAACATCACACATACTTTGAAAAAGTAGACGTGCAACTGTGGTTGAGTTCAACCGAACAACGTTCAGAAACAGATCAGCAGGCATCTGTGCAATGCTAATGGCTTTCTCACATTTCCTTGATGATGTCATAATTACCTATGGAAATACAGAAAGCCACTTCCCATCTGCCCAACACAAACATGTCACCTCCTGTTTTTCATTTCCTTACAGTGACAGTCAGCGTTTCTCCAGTTTTCCGGATAGCTTTCAGTCCTGAAATAAGTGTTGTTTTAAAAATTTCTTCCTAGGTTATGTGAAGACATATCTAATAAGCCCTAGACTGACACTTTTTTTTGTAGAAGGAAAAGAAAAAAAGATTACTGTGGAGCTCAGGGACGAGATCAAGCTACACACGTGGCTGCAGTGGGTTAAAGTGCTTTGCCTTTTGATTCACCCAGAYCCTTTTGGCCAATGGGCTTCATGCAGAGTCACATGACAAAGACCTGCCACATCATTTCTACTGCCAGCCACGGACCAGCTTTCACAAYCACTCTGATAGTTTTAATCTTCTGTGAAAATCTGAAAGAAAAAAGTAGGCTTAATTTAGGGGTGAGTTTKGGGGGTGACTTGCTTTTCAGGGTCTCTGATGAAATGAGCCCTTTTGTCTAATAAGACTCAAGCCTGTTAGAATATTTTCTGGCTTTTCATGTAGAATGGATAAGGACATGGCACTCCTGAAGCCCAGACTGTCAGATGTAGCTGCCTCGTGTGGTGTCCAGTACTGTCCCTTGGTCACCTGGTAGAGACACAGTCCTGCCTGGCCGGTGCTGGCTCCTACCTCCTGTGACAGGGATCTRCTGCTACCTATACTTAGTTGTATAGGTAGACCAATTTCAAAAGGAAAAGAAAGATTTTTCAATATACTGTTACATTTAGCAAGTTAATTTATTCTCAGAGTTTCCTGAAGTGTTTTGCTTCTGTCTTATTCTGTAAGACTCTACTTCAGGGTTTCACCCTGAGAAGAGTCTGTCCTGGTTTCAGAGGTGAGTCCAAAGTTGTGTAGGAGGGGGTCTGGAGTTCATCCACGTTTTAGACGCGGTCTGACATTTGTACACACGGCCTTCGTCCCTTGTGACTTATGAGCCTCGAGAGTGAGAAATACGTGATTTTCCCCATTCCATCACTTAGTAGGTCTCCTTYGGAAAGGAATGTGTGCCCAGGAGCAGGACATACAACTGGGTCCTTCCCTAAGTTCAGACTAAGAACCCTGGCTACCTACTAACTAGCAGCACTTGGATATCACACAAATACAGGTTGAGTATTCTTACCTTAAAACTCAAAAATCCAAAATGATCCCAAATTCAAAATCCAATCGGCACTAACATGAGGCTGCAAATGGGAAGTTCCACCTCTGACCCCATGGGGATGGGTGGCAGTCAAAATGCAGGTGCACTAAAAATAAGATATAAGGTTATTTTCAGGCAGTGTCTATAATAAGGTATACATGAAACAAATGAATTTTGCGTTTAGACTTGGTTCCCATCCCAAAGATATCTTATTATAGATATGCATATATTCCAGAGTCTGAAATCTGAAACACTTCTTGTCCCAAGCATTTTGGATAACAGATGTTCAACGGGCACATTAAAATCACCTAGCTCTCCTGCCCCTGTCCCCAGCTACTCCTGCTCCGTGGTCTCTGGTCAACAAGCTCCTATTCATTTGGTCRCCCAAGCCTTAAACCCAGGGTCATTCTCAGTTTCCACCTCACTAGAGCCCTCCCCCCCATCCACATAGCATCCACCTTTAATTAGAAACCTAAGACCTAAGAAAGTATTCAAATTTATYAAGTATTCTTGATATGTACTGACATTACCTTAATTTCAGCAAGGATAATATGTTACTAAATTAATATAACAGCTTCCAGATCAGCGTCCTTGTCCTCAGTGCCCCTGCATCATGGTCTCCGTGAGGGTTCATATCTTGCATATCCTTCACTTGTGGCCGTGTGAAGGAGCCTGGCAGTCTTAGAATGTCTCCACAGATGGCTGCTGCTAGTTCACCATGGCTATCAACCATTTCTCCCACCTCTGGGCACAGTGCCTGATTTTCTACGGGGAAATTGGCACCCTCTTTCATTTTTCTTTGATCTCTGCCATCCTTCTCTACCCTCTCTGACTTGGCCAGCTCCAGAGACTGGAGATGAGGAAATGTTGTACCTTTGGCCCAATGATTGATTCAGGCTTGGTCATTTGTCTTTGTCAGCCCAGTGGAAAAAACAGTCTTAGGAACCACTGGTGAGGAACAGCTTCTGTGGGGTTTACAAACCAGTGGACTTCAAGCCTGGCTGCTGGCCGCCATCTGGACATGGTGGGCACCAGGCCTTGCTGGAGATAGGCTGACAGAGGAGATGTGTCACACAGGCTCTGACATGTCAGTCTGTGGGACTGGGCTTGCTCAAACCACTTCACCTCTAGTTTATTTCAGTTTTTCAGACCCTTTTTTGTTTAAATCAATTTGAGTTGACTTTTTTTTTAACTTGAGAACAAAAGAGACTTGATTTCTATTTATGGCCATGTAAGATCCTTAAGGATTAGGCTTCTCCCTGTCTTTTTCTTTTTCCCTTGAGACTTTTGCACTAAGTACTTCCTGTTCATTCTTCAAGAACCAGCTAAAATTTTGCTACCTCCAATAAGCTTCTCCTGACTGCTCCAGGCTCTCTGCTCACAGCTCTGTCATAACACTTATCATATTCCTTCCTGATTGCTTGTTTGCTTTCTGGGCACTCTCTCTGGGACCAGTCTGTTCATAGATGTATCTCCAGAACCACGTGTATTCACACACATGTCTGAAGCAATGATTAAAGCCTCAAAGAAAGAGAAAAGAGAAGTGATTTTCTCAGTTTAATGGAAAACATGATTCACATATTTAGAAAGATCACTTGCTTTGGGTAAATCACAAAGGTCTGAGGCAAAGACAGGTTTGGAAACCTGAAGACTGTTTAAGTCATGTAGGCAAGAAATTCTGGCATGATGAATGASCCACAGTACTGTGAGTGTGAGGATGGAGAGGAGGCAATAGATTTGAGATAGTCAAGATAATAAGCATCAGATATTGAGACAATGTAGGGTAAAGAGAAGAGAGAAGTCCAGTGACTTAAGGTTTCAGGAGGCAGGAAACACAGAAGAAAGAATTTTGAAGTTAGGGAAAGTTCTGCTTTTTTTTTTTCCTAAGTTAAAGTTGAAGTGTGGTTTTTATACAATAATATTCACCCTTTTAAAATATACAATTCAAGGGACTTGTAATATATTCACAAGATAACCATAACCATTATATAATTCCAGAACATTTCTCAAAAAAAAATCCCAAGCCCATATTAGCAAGCACTTCCCATGGTACCATCTCCCCCAGCCTCTGATTATAACTGATCTATTTTATGTCTGCATATATTTGCTTCTTCTGGACATTTCATGTAAATAGAATCATACAATATGTGTCTATTTGTGTCCAGACTCCTTCACTTAGTATGACTCTAAGTATTATCCCTATCTTTTTACTTTGTGTATTTTTGTGGCTAAAATTATTTACATTGTATAGATATATCACAATTTATTCATTCATTCATTCGTCAGTTGATGAACACTTGGTTGTTTCCATCCTTTGACTATTATGAATAATACTTTTATGAACATTTTATGTGCAAGAGTTTTTGTAGACATGTATTTTCAATTCTCTTGGACAAATGCCTAGGTGTAGATTTTCTAGGTTATATAATATCTCTACGTTTAACTTTGGTTCCCCTATAGTACTGAGGATTGAACCCAGGGCCTTGTTTATGATAGGCAAATGTTCTATCAATGAACTATATCCCCAGATCTCCATTTTTAACTTTCGGAAAAACTGACAGATCATTTTCCAAATTGGCTGCATCTCCCTACATTCCTATTAACAATTTACAAAGTTTCAAAAACCCGAATCAACACTTGTTATGTTCTTTTGTTTTGGTGACAGCCATTCTAGCAAATGTCAACTGGTTATCTCATTGTGGTTTTGATTTGCATTTCCCTAGACTGATGATGCTCAGCATACTCTCATGAATTTTGTGCTATTTGTGTATCTTCTTTAAAAAACATGTCTTATTCAAATGTATGAATTGCCAAGATCATTGTAATGTCATGTGTAGCTAAAAAAAAAAAAAAAAGAAAAAAAAACATGTCAAACCAGATTCTATGAATTTTTTAGAGAACAAAATTTTATTCTAAAAATAGAACTTCAGTAACAATAAAATACCAAAAGGCAATCATGATAATACAAAAGGGGAAAATAAATAACAGGAATTTGCTCTATTATTTTTCTGAAAAATATAAAATTATCACAGTAATGTGCTGCTAACTCTCATTTATCAATATTTGAATTACTCACTGTGTGAAATAGCCAAAGAAACTTTAAAGTCATAGGATAGATGGCTTCTATCTAATTTTTAGATTGCTTTTATCTTCAAGTAAAAGTGTCTTTTAATACCTGGATTGCTTTTATTGTTAAGTAAATGCATTCTCAAGCAAAGCAAACAAATTTATATGTGGGCCTATTTTCAAATGGAATTATTTTTGTTATTGAGCTGTAAAAATTCTTTATAAATTCTGAATACTGGACCCTTATCAGATATATAATTTGCAAATACCTTCCGACTTTGTGAATTATCTTTTTATTTTCTTTTTTGTGTCCTTCACAGCATAATATTTTCAAAGAAAATCTCAATGAAATTCAATATTTCTATTTTTCTTCTGTTGCTTGTGCTTTTGGTATCACTTCTAGGAAATTACTGCCAAATCAAAGATCATGAATATCTATGCCTATGTTTTTTTCCAGAAGTGTTGCAGATTTAAATCTTGCTTTTAGGTTTCTAATTAATTCTGGACTAATTTCTATATATAATGTGAAGAAGAGTATAACTCCATTCTTTGGCATGTGTATATTGGTATCATTTTGTTGGAAATAATTATTCTTTCCCCCATTGAATTGTCCTGACACTGTTGCCCAAAATCAATTGATTTTGGATTCTCTATTTTTCTCCATTTAGCTGTATGTCTATACTAGTGCCAGTGCTATATGGTCTTGATTACTAAAGCTTTCTAGTAAGTTTTAAAATTCAGATGTGTGAGTCCTCCAACTTTACTAATTTTTTAAAAAAGATTGTTTTGGCTAATCTGGATTCTGTGGATTTCCCATGAATTTTAGGATCAGCTTGTACCAATAAGTGAGCTGAGATTTTGAGAGGGGTTGTGTTGAATCCGTTTTGGGGATATTGCCATTCTTAACAATATGGTCTTTTGATTCATGAATATGAGTTATCTTCCCATTACTTAATTAATTTTATTCAATAACATTTTCACTGTACTTGCACTTCTTTTTTGTTAAATTGACTCAAATTTCTTATTGTTATGGAGAGGATATTCTAAATAGATAATTTCCTTTCAGGATTATTCATTGTTATTGTGTAGACATACAATTGATTCTTAAAAAACTGATCTCATGAGGGGCATGGTGGCACATGCCTGTAATCTCGGCTACTCAGGAGGCTGAGGTAGGACAATCATGAATTTGAGGCCAGCCTTGGCAATTTAGTGAGGCCTTGTCTCAAAATAAAATTTAGAGCACTTGCTATACATGTGTTAAAACCCTGGGATCAACTCTCAGTTACAAAAAAAAAAAAAAATAAGGAAAAAAAACTATCAAAAGCTGATTTTATATCCTGCAACCTGCTAAATTTATTTATTAGCTCTGTAGATTTTGAGGGTATATTAGTTCCGTTGTTGAAATATTAAATTTTAGACATCTAGCATGTCATTGAACACAAACAGTTCAAGGAAAGTGTCTTGGATGGGTTTGGAGGTCTTATAACTATTGATCTTTTTAAATATCTAAAATCATATTTTGTTTAAGGAACTGGAAAGCTGAGACTGTCATCTGAAAATTGTTTTTGAGGACAAATTTTTTAATGGCATGTAGACAAATGGGTAGAAGAATTTGGAAGTTCCTGTCTCCATTTCCTTTTGATTTTTTTCATAGTTAACATTCCTTTTGCTCCTGCAGAGGAGGCTCCACACCAGCACATCTGCCACGTGTTTTGCTGTTATCGATATGGATGCTCCAAAGTCAACAGGTGTTTTCTGATGTCAGAGCCTTTCTTGTTTTCTTTGGAGGCATTCCAGTGCTGGATAAAGACATGTTTGCCTGAAAAGGCTTATCTCCTAATAGGAGCAGCTTTCCTGAAGATGCTTTGGGCCACCTTGCCAGGGAATTCTCCACCAGAGAATGTCCCCACAGTCCATCACACTTCCACACCTGAGTTCCAAGCAGTRTGTGTTGTAGGATACACATTGTCAGTGTCTCCATGGAAACCAGATCAAACATTTTGATTCAAAATTTTGGTCTCCATCAATATCTAAGAA